CCTGCCATGTTCTTTTCATCCACTTCCCTTCCCAGGATGTGATGCACCATGGCTCTCTCACCTCAAAGAAGGGGGCACAGAGGTCCCCAGAGAATAAGTGCTTGGCTCCAGTTCACCCAGCTCCTGCAACCACAGCCTGCGTGGCTGGAGTTAGAGACGTGTGCACCCTGCAGGCAGCTGCCTCCCAAGCACCCTGTTCTTTCCTTGGGGAGGCTGGGAATCCAGGGCCACTCTGGAAGCTCAGCAGCAAGACAGGGCCAGAAGCTGGAGCTGAGCTGTGGTCCAGGGACAAGGGAATCCACATGGTCTTGTAGCCCCTGGGCAGTCACAGGTGAAGTGGGGAGCCTGGCTTGCATTTGAGCTTCCACCATTGCTACTACTTTTACATGACAGTAAAAGTAGTGAGTGATAGGGAATTTCCAAGATAATAAAATGTACATCTATCCCTTGTCACATGTATGCAATATATATATAAATATATATATATATATATATATATATATATATATATATATATATATTCTGTTCACAAGTCCCTTGTTCATCTGGAATTTCAATTAGCTTTTCTTTAAAAAAACCATATTCTATCATGTTTATCAAACCCAAGCTTTATTGGCAATTTCCAAAACTCTGAGATGCCAGTAGATTTGTGGGTAAGCAGTATTCACACCAAGCACGCCCATGTTCTTCCCCTGCCCAGGAGGGATTGGCGGTCACTGGGGATTATACTGGGAATCTTTTTTTTTTTTTTTTTAAATCAGTATCACAACAATGTATAAATCCTTCTAAAACACATAGTTAAATATCTAATATGATTTTTTCCTCTCCCTCTTAATGAAGTATGTTATCTACTTTACCCCATTATTATGGATTTAAATCATGTTTATAGAGATTGCTTTTGGTAAGAAAAGTTTTAAGAGGGAGTATAGGAAAATCCCTTGTGAGCACTATTAAGATGTCAAGTCCAGCACATGTTCACGTATTTGGGCTCCAAAGTGTGTCCAAATGTTTCCTCAATTCTCTGAAAACAGCGCCAGGGCTAAGAAGTGAATATCAGGTATGGTGGTGGTGATCTCAAACCTGAGCTTCAAACCCTACCTTTTCTAAGGATTTAGAATTCTTTTCAGGAATCAATTTTGAATGACTCATACTTCAACTGAGGACAACTGAAGGCTTGATGTATAGATGTTCCCATTTTCAGCATCTTATTGCTGCTCTCAGTGTTTTTGTGATGACAGTTTTCCTTCATAGAACCAGCTTAAAATTAGAAAAATCAAACACACATTAGAGAAGGCAGGTTTACTCTGCAATTAATTGATAGAGAGAAGTAAAGCTCCTACTGCTGGGGCAGGAGCCCAGTGCTTCCCCAGCAGACTGCCAGGGTCCTGAGCCTGGGTCACCGGCAGCTTGCTATGCTGAGGCCAGGGCCCTGTGCCCTCGGGAACTGAGCCTTGAATTCCAGCAACAGGGACATGCACACCAGGCAGCTGTCGGCAACATATCTGCCCACAAGTCCTGGGCTGTGTGTGTTGCTCTTCCCACTTTATTATTATTATTTTTGAAACGTGAATAACATTGAAAGCTAAACTCCCCACTCAGTTCTGGCTTCTCCCTACCCTACTGGACAGCAGGAAATGTGGCACACTCTAGTTGGTGACAAGAAAACGATTCTTACAGAAAAGGCAGCTTCTGCAGGGGCCACGGATTAAACAGGGAAAGTAGGAGCCTCCAGACTCAGTTGGCTCTTTGCAGAGGCTGGAAGCCACCCAGTGGGGGTGGGGAGGGTGAGCAATAGAATCTGGTGAAATACGACCCCGCGGTTTTGACTTTAAATAAGCATTTCCGTCCTAATAGAAGCCTCTCTACTGTCTCCTGCAGCTTTGACTTGGGAACACGTCACATTCCTCATTAAAGCAATCACTGTTAAAACATAAAGCAACACAGGATTTATTTCTTCATTAAACTGATGATCCGTATATAAAGCCAATTAACATTATGAGCCTGGTGAACATCAAGTGTAAAGAGGTTGGAGAAAATTAAAAGCAGTCACCTTGGTCTTTAGATAAAGAAAGTACACTTTCAGGTTGTAAATTATCAGAGTGTCCAAGCGGGACAGATCGGCGAATTTGGTTAATTGGAAAATACATTTTACCGCACAAGAATCAAGGAAAAAAATGACCGTTTCGTTATTAAAGTGTGTGTGTGTGTGTGTGTGTGTGTGTGTGTGTGTGTGTGTGTGAATACCTATCAGTCGCCTTCTCCAGGGTCCCGAGTATAGGCGACAATCGGGGGCAACAAAAGGGCTCTGGTCTTGGTCTGCTGAGCTTTCGTTTCTGTGGTTCGTGGGCCTCTCACTGATATTTTGTGAACACCTGGCCCTGTGGCTCCAGCAGGGGACGGCGGGCGCTGAGGCCGCGGGAGCCGAGCGCCTGGAGCAGCCCGGTGCGCGGAGACCTCTCCCCGACCTGGCGGCTCCTTGTCCAGCCCGGGGAGGCCAGGCCTGCAGCGAGGGCTGCGGGGAGTGGGGCGGCGCGGGGCCGGGGGCGCGGGGCCGGGGGCGCGGGGCCGGGGGACGATTCCTGGCTGAGCGGCCGGGCGGGACCCGCGCGCGGACTGCAGAGTCGGAGTTCGGTTTCCGCCGCGAGAGCTGAGTGTGCGTCCCAAGTAACTTTGCAGATCGGGGCCGGGAGAGGACGTAGTCAGCTCCCAACGCCGAGTTGTCCTGCTTCAGGAGCGCAGGGAGGGAGGTCCCGGGACCAGCTTCTTTCCCCTCTTTAGGTCCGGATGGGAGGGAGGGCGCGCCGCTGTCCAGGGTTCTGATTCTCCGAGTCGCACGGGCAGTGCGCTGCTCGCAGACCCGAACGCGCCTGTGCCTGTCCAGTCCCCGGGACACCTCTGGACCTCTGGGCCTTGATAGGACCCTGAGTCGGGCGATGTCAGGGACGGGAGCTGAGAGTGAGGCTTTAACTCTCTCGGTTTCGGGGGCTCTTGCAGCGCCTGGCTCTGGGTCACCGCGCCAATTCCGAAGCGCCCCGGGCGTCCTGGCGGAACCCTCCTAGTACCGCTTCCCAGGGCAGGCAGCGGGGAGCTGTAGTTCAGAGAAGCCGGAACCCGAGAAGCTTTTTGCAGACTCCAGAGCTAGAGGGGACCTACAGCCCAGGAGAAGGGCTGAGGAGAGCAGGGGTCCTTTGAGGGTCACAGGGAGGCAGTGACAGCGCCGAGGCCAAGGCAGGGCAGGCTCCAGCTCCAGCCCTCTCCAGCGAGGTTGTCACAGCGTGCCCTGCCGACTCAGCACCGCCTCCCGGACCCAGGGCGCCCTCCTCCCACGCTGGCCGCCTGGCTAGCTAACTCAGGGGCCCCAGCGGAGCTGGGGCCCGGGTTTCTCTGCTCGGAACCCAGCCGGCGTTTTCGCAGCTCCCGGCTCGCTGCAGAGCAGACTGCCAGCGCCTGGCGGCCCACCCCAGGAACCGCCGCTCCGAGACGAAGGCCCCGACTTGCCTGGGCCCAGGGCGCCGCGTCCTCCTCTGGATCCACTCTCGGGCCGGGGCCCCAGCGCTGCGCCCTCCAGCTTCACTCTGTCGCCGAGGGCCATGTTCGAGAGTGGGCCCGCCAGGGCTTTTGTTTCCAGAGCTCTATGTCTTTAAGATCCGGGTTGGATCTCGGACCGGCAAGGACCCGACCTTTCGCCTAGCCAAGACTCCAGAACACAGCATTAGAATGTTTATAAAATATTCAATTTATGCAGTCTGTCCAAGAAGCCATCGTCCCAAAATAAAATCAGCAGTCTAGACGGAACACAGACACCAGAACTTATCAACAGTTGTCTGACTTGCATCTTCTGATGCATCTTGAGTGGGTCATAATACCAACTTTATTTTCAGTGGTGCATAAATTAATTACACGCATTTAATAACCAAAATATCATTATATTCCCCCTTTAATATCATAAAGGCTTTCCGCCAGGGAAGCACTTAATAGTGCAGGGGGCCGTAACGGGCTATTATCCTGGTGTAATGCTATTACAGAACCAATTATGCGCCATTAGACTGGCTTTTTTTTGTAGTTTATGTGATTTGATCCAATCCTGCGCCCCTGACTTGAAAATTTCAGGCCGGCACTTTAGAGCTTAATTTTCACCCAGGCAGAGAGAAGGGCGGTCTCTCTCTGCTGAGTGCCTGCCTCGGATGCATTTTAAAAGTAATTGCGAAGGGTCCCACCGCATATCATTTATATGGAGAAGCGAACATAAATTCAGGGACCCCTTGCTGAGAACAAAATCAAACTTTCCTTTTGTACGATCGCTTGGAAAGGGAAGCCGTGTGCAAAGAGTCCCCCCAAAACCTATCGGCAGCGACAATTAGCAGCGCTTTGTCAACTCGCAGCCCGGGAGTGGCCAGGCCTGCGACAAGGGCAGCTCAAATCCAATCTCTCCCGGAGAAAGAAGGTTTGAGTGTGGGGGGTGGGGGTGGGGGGACAGTGGGGGAGGTCCCAGGGTGGAGAACGGGAACTCTGGGGTGATGGTGGTGACCGTTGTTCCTTCTTTTAAAAGAAAAGAGCAAAACCGTTCCTGATGTTTGCTGAGAAATGACGGATTTTTTTTTTTTTACACCACGTGGGCCGTTTGTAAGGCCCAATAGACCTATCCAAGTTACTCGCTGTAGACAGCGCTGGAAATAATCAGATTAAGGCCAATTATGCGTGAGATTATAAAGGCGAGTGCTGAGCGGCGCGCGCTGTAGACAGACAGCAAGACATCTGGCCACTTCCCGAGTCACTTCTCGGGTCTTGCGGGCGCCAGCAGCGCCGAGCCCCGCCCGCCGCCGGCAGAGCTCGGTGCGGCCCCGCGGCCCCGCTCCGGCCTCCGCCCGCCGCCCGCGGAGGGAGGTACGCAGGATTCCCTGCCTGGGGCCGCGGCTCCTGGCCCGTTACCGGGTACCAGACCCGCTGCCCGCCCCGCGCTCCGGCCTCGGGCTGTGCCGCCTCCCGACCCAGGGCGCGCGATGGCCTTGCGCATCCGCCAGACCCTCCACGGTAGCCGGCGGGGGCTGCGGCGGGGACCCCGGGAGTGCGGACCCGACCTTGCGGACTGGTGTGGGATCGGAGTGCAGGCAAGGCTGTCCGGGAGGCGGACCCGCCCGAAAGGCTGCCCCGGGGTCCAGGCCTGCGACGGGGAGCGTTGCCACCTCCCCTATGTCCCGAAGTGGGCTGAGGCCGTCGGGCGGGGGCCTCACGCGAGGGGAGCTCCCAGTGCTCTCCCGGGCCATGCCCGAGCGCAGGCGGGGACTCAGGCCCTGTCTCCCTTTGCTTTGCAGCCAGGCCGGAGCGACGAGTGCCCGGGTCCTGCCGCCACTCTCCGAGTCCTGCCGTGCAGCCGCTGCGCCGTCGGCGATGTTTTATTTCCACTGCCCGCCACAGCTAGAGGGTGAGTAGGCGCCGCACCCCCCTGCCCAGCGAGGCCCACCGGCCTGGGAGGCCCAAGCCGTAGCAGCCGGGCTGCCGGTGGAGGGGTCTCCGCCCGCGAGCAACGAGCGCCTAGGCCCCCTCCCTGCGCCCGGCTCCATCCCCCAGTGCGAGCCACCTGCCGCCCGGCTCCCTCTCCTCCCCGGGCTGGGCGGCCTCAGGCTACGCGTGCGGCAGGGGCGCCGGTTGTCCCAGCACAGATGCCAGTGTCACGCCTGTAATCGAGGCTCCTCTGCCTAGGGGCCGCATCAATCTTTCAGGACATTTCGCAAACATCCCAAAAGCCCAAGGAGCTGGCCGCCCTCCTGGGCCCTGCCCAAAGCCAGGGAGAGCCACTGCTCTGGGCGTTGAGGGTGCTCTAGGACCCTCCTGGGCAGTATCAGTCCCCTTCGGCCATACTGTCCCTGGAGCTCAGTGCCCCTAAGTGTCCCAGTGTCATGGCAGGACTCCTGTTCTGTGGCTTTATGGGGTTCTGACCCCCAAAGCCACCCACTCCCCACTCCCAGGGCCAGGTGGCTGGTCTTTGCAGATGCCCAGACCTTAGAAGAAATTTCCTTGCAGGAGCCTTGGTGTGGGGATGCAGAGGTGATGACAACTTGGATCTTTGGGTGTCCCCCAAAGGGGGGTCCACCAGACGAAGTGCAGCCCCACCCTGGGCTCCAACAGGACCCTCCTGGGATCTGCAGCCCTGGAAATCAGGCATTCCTAACCCTGGGAGCAGCCCTAGGATGACCTTTGGCAGCCTAGTCCTGTCTTTTATGCTTGCCCTGGCACAGTGTGGAGGTCAAGAATTGGGGAGACAGGAGCAGGGCCACAGGTAGGGGCCAAAGACAGCAGAGGATCCTTGTTCGAATAGCTCAGCCTCTCCTGGGATTTCCCGAAGTTGTTTTTGTTGCCCTGTCTAAGCCCGAAGGAGTTCAGCAGGGTGTTCTAGGGGAAGCTCATGAGGAGCAGTGTGGCCCTGCCAGGTCTGCCATGGTTCCACAGAGGGAGGTCACAGCGTGCAGCATTTCACTTCTGTTACCCCCATGACCTGTGCCTGGTCAGTGCTATGACCCTGTGCCCGCATCCGGGGCAGATCCTTCACACATGTGGTGCTTCTGAATACCGGTCTGAACCACCTGGCAGCCCTCTTTTCTGGCCCAACTGGGACAGGCAGAGGCTTGGGGAATTTAGCAAGTGGCAGACATCCTGGGTCGCCCAAGGGGGAGCCCTGTCTGCAGGGTGGGTTGCAGAAGTGGCTTGGGGACAGTCCTGGGCCCAGCCCTCTCAGTTGTCCCCAGTTGACTCATTTTTGCTGCCCGAACCCTGGGCACATTCCCCCTGTATGTCCGTGGGGCTTTCAGAGCCCCCATGCCTCTGCAGACCTGTTTCTGTGCCGGTCTCACAGGAGGGGCAGTTTTAGGTTAGTTTAGGGGGGACACGATCTGCTGCAACTGGAAATGTTGAGGAAAGACCTTTGGCACAGGGCATTGGCTCACAGGCTATCAGCTTTTTAATTGTAATTTTTAAAATTAATGTAGAGCAGTGCATGGGAGGAAGCAAAGCATGGCTCCTAGTCTCACATCTGAGATACTTTTGCTGATACTATGAATTAAAAAGTGCTACATGTGTTTGCATGAGAAGTACAAATAGAAAACAAACCTATGCGTTCACGAATGAAACTCTTCTTGTCTTTCCCTAAAGATACCTGCTGTTCTGGGTTTCTTAGGATCCCTTTAGAAAAATACCCCTTTCTCCCTCATTTTTGTTTCTTTTCTTTACTGTTCTGGCTCACTTGCACTGAGATCATATTGTTGAGTCCTTCTGTGCTTCAGAAGGACACATTGGATGCTTTTCCATGTCAACATATGCAGGTCTGGTCATTTCTTTTAGACAGCTGTGTAGTATTCCATTATTTGTCAGGCAGAAAATGCCCAGTGATGGGCATTTTAGTTGTTTCTTATTTTCTTTTCTTATTGCAGTGTTTCCAGGAACATTTTTCTCTGTCTATTTTGGCATACTTTAAAAATATATTCATAGATTAAATGCCTGAATGTGAACATAAATTTTTCATGATTATTGCTAAATTATCTTCTAATAAGACTACAATAATTAGGGCTGGGGATTTAGCTCAGTGGTTTCGCCGCCTGCTACACAAGTGCAAAGACCCGAGTTCGATCCCTGGTACCAAAAAAAAAAAATACTACAATAATTGTCCTAATCCTATAAATGATAAATGAAGATGCACAATTTATTTGTACTAGGCATCATTATGCACTTTATGTTTTTGCCAAAATAGTAAAACAAAAACAGCATTTCATTGTTTTACTATGTTTCAAGTATCTATAAGGTTTAACATTTTCATAACATTATCAACCATTCTATTTAAGTGAAAAGTCTGTTCTTATGTCTTCTTCATTTCCTTTTTCTTCTTGATTTGATAAAGTCAGCCTTTTTGAGGATTCAACCTGACAGCCCAGGATATTGCATGTAGAATTGTGAGGCAGTTTGGGACACGTAGGTATAAGTTAGAAGACTGCGTAAGACTGTGGCTGGAGACCTCAGGAGTGGCATTCCAGTCACACTAGGCAAGTGCTTTGTCTCAAAAGGAGACAATTTGGCTTTCTGCAAAGTAATGGAAATAAGACTGCTTCCAGGCTGTCCCTTTTAGGTTTGCAGCAAGCTGGGGAGAAATGTTTGTAGCTAGGGTTCTGAGGAGGACAGCAGCTTGGCCTGGGGGATGGAGGTGAAAAGCTTCAGCAGAGGGAGTGAGTGCATTTTGGCAAGAGATGTGGCCCTGGGGGTAAAATAATACGGAAATGGATTCCCTTTAGTGGCTAGAATTTTGAGAAGCCCTCAGAACTGAGGTCCTCAGGAGGGATATGGCTGGGCATTCCGGCCTGAGAATGGGTGCTGAACACAGGGTGCTTCTGAGAACAGAGCCATGAGAGGTAATGCGTTCACTGGTTAATGGAAACTTGCTTGTTGTTTTCCTAAGAAGCCATTGTGGACTATCAAGTAAATAGTGCACATTTGGAAAATGATTTGAATGCACATCTGGGGCCGAGCTCTGTTCTGGCTTTATTGTGCGTTTTGGAGGCTGCCAGGGAGGACCATGTCTGTCTTTTTAGGGATGGGGAGCTGTAGAGGCTTTATGTGGCTGGGCTGGAGAGAGGGTTGCCCTTTGGAAGTGGCCCTATTTTGGTCTGCTTGGCATTCAGCATACTTGCTATTGGGGCTGAGCTTTTGTTAATTGACATCTATATAACAGATCCACTATGGTGCTGATGATCTGTGACCAGCGGTAATTAATATTCATTTATAAACTTCTTAGCTTCTTGAGTTGTGTGCTTTGAGGAGAAAAGAGCTGTGAAATGCTCTTGCCCCCCCACCCCACCTCCACCCCATCCTCTCCATCCCCAGCCTTTAACCCCTGCTGGTGACAGGCACAGGGGAAGTAGGCTAACAGTTGAGTGAAAGGGGCCATTCAGCCGTTTGATAAAGGGTCAAGATGCAGGTCTGGGACAGGGGTGCAGCCACGAGCCAGGAGGCAGATGTGGGCTCTGCCTCAAGCCAGAAACCCTTTCTGGCCCAGAGTCCGGAATTCCACAAGGACTGGCCTTGTCTGTCTGGAAGATGAAGGTCCCTATCACTGTGTGCAATAGGGACAACTGGGTCTAAAGGCAAAGGTTTCATTCTGGAGAGAGAGAGCAGGAGAAAGTGGAGAAGAGGGAGTCTTAAAGCATGTATTAGGAAGGGTGTTGTCGTCCAACAAATGAGCCCTGAGGTCCAGCTGCTGTGGCTGGGTGAGCTGACAATGGGGTTCCCCTGCTCAGCTTGACACTCTGCTCCCCTAGGCACTGCACCCTTTGGAAACCACTCCACAGGGGATTTTGATGATGGGTTTCTGCGCAGAAAGCAGCGCCGGAACCGGACCACCTTCACCCTCCAGCAGGTAGGTCAGAGTCCCTTCCAAGAACCAGACGTATTCTGCTTCCCTCAAGGGCAGAGTTGAGCAACTCTCTCTTTTTAGATAAGTTCACCAATGATGCTAGCTTGATCTTTCTCCTTTCTTGAACAGTTTATGCGTTGAGGACTCTGTCTGGGCGGACAGTGGATAACTGATCTTCTGGTCCCAGGGAATCAAGGGAAGAGGCGGGAGTTAAGCCTTCCATTTGGCTCAGGCAGATGGGTCAGGGCACATCTTCACATCAGCAATGTCATTTGCACCTCTCAGCCATTCTTATCCCCAGGACATAGGTGGGAGGCCTAGTGCCCATCTAGTTGACTGACTTGCAGATAGTATTGCTCCTGGGAAGGGGAATCTCACTGTCACCTTTATGGGAGCTGAGTTTTCCCTGAGATCAGCCTCTGTCTGGGTCCTGAGCTGGCCAGAGCAGTTGGGAAGGTGACCCTTACGTGCTCTGTGGGAGGGCTTGGCTGGGCAATCTTATCCTTTGTGCCCCTTGGTGGAAACTGAATTAGTCTGTTAATAAGGCCACCTTAGACTGCTGATTCCTATGATCAAGTGTAAACATAAAGAAACAGTCAAACCTCTCTTATTTCTTCTCCCAGGGAGAGCACTGAGGTTGTTATTAGTCTGATCTCCTAAGTCCTTCAGGGTTGAGAATCTAATTCTGCAGAATCTTTTCAGAGTTTTTTCCTCTGTCTCCTTCCTCCATCCGATCTGGGAAACTGCTTCCTTACCATTCGGATCAGTTTGGAAGTACACATATGCTTCCCCTCACCTAGCTACAGCCTCTAACCAATAAATATTGTTCCTCTTACCAGCTGGAAGCTCTGGAAGCTGTCTTTGCCCAAACACACTACCCAGATGTCTTCACCAGGGAAGAGCTGGCCATGAAAATAAACCTTACAGAAGCCAGAGTGCAGGTAAACCTTCTTTTTAATTATTTAACTCTCTAATATTAAAACTGGCAAACTTTTTTTTTTGACATCATGACTGCAGAGTGCACATTTGGCCAAAGAAAGCAAATGAAGACTATCTGTCATTTTCATGATGCACTTTAATAACATCAACATAATGTGGAATATTAGATTAGGTTGATTAATCGGTCATTCATAATTAACTAGTGATAATGTTCTACACTAATTTGTCCGCGTCTCTAAGGTACTAAATTACATCAATGCACATCCATTTCCTTGCTTTGGAAAAAAAAAAAAGCTGAGATGCTATTCTCAAAGCAGATCTGACCGCTCTGGGGTGAGGTCGGTCAATTGCACAGAACCGCGTTTTCAGATGGGAAGCAGGTCAGGATTTGCTTTCCAGAAAGTGCATCAGGCCCAAACTTTCCCCCTGTACGCCCACTCTGTCAGCCAGCCAAGTGGATCCAACGAACACGTGCAATTTAAAAATCTTTAAACAGCAGCAGCAAAAGGGCTCAGCAGAGTTGAGCACAGCCCTCGTGACTCTTAGCAGGGCTTCTTTCTCCAAGCTGCATGGTGATTAAGTTGAAGCAAACCCGCCGAGCCCACCAGATGTGCCGGGCTCCAGAGGACAGATCCTCGGTGCCGCCTCTCCGGGCGAGCTATTCTTTGAGCACAATTCTATATTCATTTTATTTATGGGATTTCCTCCATGCTGTTTCTGTTGTTTTTTATGTAGGGACTCAGGGTTAAGCCTATGCAAAGATCTAATTGTAGGAAATATAATAGTTCGCTTTCAGTTCCCCTGGGTCATGTTAGTATCTCTTAAAAACCAATGGCTGAAGAGAGATAATGGAATTCTGAGCAGTAAATTGGGGGTTGTAAACAAATTATTTCCCCTATAATCAGATTATGCGATCCTGATTATTAAATCTGAACATGAATCATTGGTCATATGCGGGCAAATTAAACTGATTATTATTTGGAAATGAAAATCTTCTTTGGCCAGGATACCGTCTATAGTTTCTGTTTTTAATGCCAGCTTGCCAATAGCTGCATAAAGACTGAACTGCAAATTGAGATAAATGACACAATTATTGAGCATTCAGAAGTGGAAGATCATAACTTCTCCCTGAAAGGTGCAAGGGTAAGATAGGGGTGGTGACAATTAAAGCTGGGAATTGTTGTCCAGGCTGTTGTTGGCTATTATGCAGGCAGACAATGGTCGAGAAGCGTTTGTTTAGCCAGCTTCCCTGTGGGGACTCGAGCTTTGGTGGAGGGAAGGGAGATGTGTTTACATTTATACCCCTTGCTCATTCAAATATGATTAATGTTCTATAAAGCAGGGTCTTAATCGAAGCTGATGTTGTCAAACAATAACTAAATAGGGAAATAAACGACTCCATCATGCTCTTCCCTCAGAAGCAGGCGAACTGTCAGTGGAAAGTCATTAAAATATGATAATGAAAAATAGCTCAATTAAATGTTGTTATAGCTGTGACCTTCATTCAATTAAGACACAAGAAAGTGTCTGCATTTTGCTTTGCATTTAACTGCTCTAAATTTAGAATATAGATAAAATCATTATTCAATGGTTGCTGATATGTGCAATTAAAAGCCAACTTGATTAAAAAAGAAAGAAAGAAACTCAGTTAAAGGAGAATGAAAATTAGGAGACAGAGTGGGCTGGCAGAGCGCTCAGCCCGGAGGACCCAGGCTCTCTCCCCTGTCAGCTCGCTGTAGCTGGGGAGGAGAGGAGGACCCCAGGGGTGGGAGCAAGGCCTAGCCAAGCCTTTTGTTTTGTTTTGTTTCGCTTTAAAGCCAGGAATTATCTTCCAAGAGAGGAAAAGAGAGGAGAGAGGAGAGGAGAGGCTTTGCTGGGTAGAGTGAAGGCAGCCGATTCCGCTGAACTCTGGGCACACCTTGTGCCCAGGCTGCCAGGCTACTACCAGGCAGCTCCTCCTTCTGCACATGCAGAAGAGTTAAACAGTCCAATGCAGGCCTCTCGGAAAGGTCAAGGTGACTCATGCTCCTCCTGACCTGTGGGGGACGAAGAGGGGGACACAGGCGATGTTCAGCTGATTGCCATGTACCAGGCACTGACTCAGTGTTTTTATGCATGCCGCCCTTCCTGAAGATGCTCGGGGACCACCAGCATCACCCCAAACAGTGGGGATCATGGTCTGAGCCAAGTCACTGGCTTCAAATTTCACATCTGTCACTGATCACCTGGATGACCTCTGGGAAGTTAACTAACCTCTCAGCGCTTGACGTCTTTGTCTGTAAAATGAAGCTTGCAGGACTCCTTAGCTCATAGAGTTGCAGTGGATTCTAAACCAGGTTCACTGAAGTCTAGAATTCTAAACCCTGGCTGAGTCGGGGTGAGGGGACCCAGAGGGGGCCCTGGGCTGTTGGTCATGAGCTTGTTGAGTGTGCACACAGAAAATTTCAGGCATGAGAACAGTGCTCGGGGCCTGGTTGCTTTGATGAGAGCGCTGGGCAGTGTTTTGCAGGCCACTTTGACAGTGCTCCGGGTAGGAAAAACATCTCACATCAAACCACTGCAGCCATGTGAGTCAGCACTGAGAGTTTCCATAAGACGATGCCTTTACCTTTCCTGTGAGCTATGCATTCGGATACTTCTATTATTTACCATTCATTGAAAAATGACTGTTACCAGCTTCCAAGTGTATCCAGCCCATCCTGGGCCAGAAGCTTGGGTTTAGAGAGCAGGGTGCAGACAGGGGCCACACAGCATGCGCCCTGCACAGCCCAGCTCTGCCTCTTGTCTCATTTCCTTCCTCCCTTGCTGTGCTTCCCATTGGAACTCAGGTTTGGTTCCAGAACCGAAGAGCCAAGTGGAGGAAAACAGAGAGAGGGGCCTCAGACCAGGAGCCCGGGGCCAAGGAGCCCATGGCTGAAGTGACACCGCCACCTGTGAGAAACATCAACTCACCACCACCCACAGATCAGGCCCGGAGCAAGAAGGAGGCACTGGAGTCCCCGCAGAGGTGAGGCCGCTGACCAGCCCGGGGTCTCTGCATCTCGGGGATACAGTGGGAACTTAATGAGGTCTTCTCTTTTTGCCAGCCTGGGCCGAGCGGTGGGCCCTGCAGGGCCATTTTTCCCGTCCTGTCTGCCGGGGACGCTGCTCAACACTGCCACATATGCCCAGGCCCTGTCCCACGTGGCCTCCCTGAAAGGTGAGTCTCTCCACCCAAAGGGTGAAAACGGGAGGGTGGGGTGGTCAGCCCAGGCCTGCCTCATCAGCGTCACAGTGTGTCTGCACATGCCTGAGAGTGAGGGTGAATGTCGTCAGTAAGCATCCTCCCAGCAGATAGAGGGCTTGTCCTGGAGGTCCTTTCCCCAGAGTGACTGCTGCTAGGCTACAGCTTCTTCCCTGTCCCTGGCTGAAGTCTTAGGTATTCCCTTTGAGGACTGTTGTCCCTGCTTCTGAGGACTTCCGGGGTCTGTGCAGCTGGCACACTTGCCTTCCCCTCGGACTCTAACCCCTGAGGTTGGAGCCGTTAGGATTTCTGGCTTGCCTGGATTTGCTCCCCATGGCTGTCCTAACATGAGGATGGGAATTGTCAGGAATGGGCTGTGAGACCTGGAGAGAGGGACCCCTGGGGCCAGCCCCTTGGGGATTTCAGGGGCACTTTCTTGGCATGGAAGGGCCTATCTGTGTCAACTCCTGGCAAAACCCAGTTTGTCCAGAGATCAATCCAGGCAGCTATGTGGGCCTGGAACAAGGCTGAGCCCCCCAGTGGGTCTGGGGTCTGAGTGTGGGGTATAGGCAGTTGGGGCAAGTGTCTGCTGCTGATGCTGTGCTGGAGTCTGGGGTCTCCTTGGCCTTGAGGGGTCCCTCTTCTCTCCAGCAGGTGGGTCGGGCCCCCTCCCCCAATATGGCAATCTGCACTGCCAGTGTGGAGGCAGAGGGAGGATATGTGGAGCCCCCAGGAACCCTGTGGGAAGGAGAGAAGGGCCTCTGGGTGCAAAGTGTGCCTGGCTCTGGAGAGCACCGGCTAGTCTGGAGGATGCCTGGGCTGTGGGGTATGCCTGGGCGAGGGGCCAGAAGTGCTGTACAGGGTTCCCAGGGGGGACCAGGGATTGAAGGTCCTGGTTGCCAACGCTGGGTAGGAAGTAGAGCTTTGAAGCCTGGAGCCACTTCTGAGTGGTCCAAGTGGCTGGGGGATGTGTGGGTGTGAGACGCTGGGCTCTAGGGTCCCTGCTGCCAGACCTCAGAGAGTACCCTGCTGAGAGCCTGCAGGACAAACCAGACATCCCTCATCTGTAAATCTGAAATCTAAAATGCTGCCAAATTTGAAGTTTTGTGAATGCTGATGTGATGCCACAAGAGAATTCTGCACCTGACCTCTCGTGACATGCGGCCGTCACAGGGCAGGTGTACTAAACTATTGTGTGGAATTGCCTTTAGGCTGTGTGTACAAGGGTATAGGAAACATAAGTGAATCTCATGTTTAGAGTCGGGACCCATTCCGAAAATGTATATGTATATGTATATGTAAGTATTCCCAAATTTGAAAAAATCCTAAACCCAAGCATCAGATAAGGGAGGTGTGGCCTGTGCTGAGGTGGGGAGGGCAGTGGGTCCCCAGAGATCACCAGCAGAATTTGGGTGTCATCCAAGGGGCTAGTGTTGGCCAAGGTGCAAAGCTCACATCCGACTATCCATCAACCCCCTGCCTACCTCTGTGAGGGCCAGCGTGGCTGAGAGTCACCGTGTCTTTAATAAACGTGCCTCACACATTTGCCCCATGCTGAGCTGTGAGTAGGATGCTGTTCCCTTGTCTCCTCACTTTTGGGGCAACTGCTAAGCTGAGTGAGACCTTGATGTGGCTGGAGGGAGCTTGAGGCATAGACATCAGGGCAGGGAAGTGGGAGAGGCCACAAGAAACAGAGCTGGGGCTGGGCCTGGGTCCAGGACCAGTTGGAGGAACCGCTGCTGGACTGGGCCAGGGGGGATGTGAATCGGTCCTTTTCCCTCTCTCCTCTCCTCTGCCTCTTTCCTAAGGCCCTGGAGCTAGGCTGGGGCCCCTGGAGGCTGCCCTGGGCCTGGCTTGTGGGAAAGAACTCCCTTTGATACTGCATTTGCTTGGGTCTAGGGGTGCACAGGGCCCTGCAGAAGTCAGGGAAGGAAACACAGTGCACTCACAACCTGAGCATCTTTGTGCTTGGGTGGGCTGCGTCATGTCCTCATGAGAAGCCTCCTCTCTGACTAGTCAGAGGTGACAAGGTGCTGAGATGTCCCCAGAGCTGGGCAAGCCCCAAGCAGAGCGGCCTGTGCAGACACGTCTGCCTCCCTAGGCACAAATGTGCTGGTGCTCACTTTCCCAGAAACACGGCCGCCCCTGGGCTACTTTCTGTCTTCCCAACTTAGAGGGAGCCATGGACTAAATGCCTACTTCTCCACTGTCAGAAACAGCCATGCAGGATGACACTGAGTGGGGTGGGGGAGATTTGGCCAAATGGGAACATGGACACAGCACTGCCAGAATTTCTGAATTTTTAGAAGCTGCTAGAAATTTGGATTTTTTTTCACTGGAGCATTCCCATCTTCATTCTTTGGGGCAATCATAACAAAGTACCACAGACTGTTGGATTGTAAACAGCAGAAACGTGCTTCTGGGCTCTGGAGCTGGGCATGGCAAGGGCCACCTCTTCCTGGTGTCTTACTCTGCAGGAAAGAGAGCTCACTTGCTTATGGGGCCGAATCCAATCATGAGGGCCTCATCCTTTGGGCCTTGGCCCTCCCAAAGCTCCATTCATGGGGAGAGGGTGCAAGCATTCATCTCATCACAATCACATCCTTTACCTGTTGCCCTCAAGCCTTTGGGCTAAACTGGCACATGTGTGGTGGCATCAGCGGGTGGCTTTCCATCATGTGACCCTGCTGGGCTGGGAGGACTTTCCTTCTGCCTTCCTGCCCCCCCCAAGCTCCACTCCCAGTCTCCTCCTGCCCCCTCTCCTCTGAGGCCCTGTCCCCAGGCTCTCTGAGCAGTTGGCGCTGGTGTCTCCAGCAATATGACCAATGATTGAAGTCTCTCTTGCTTTCTACCGGGCAATCTCAGGTCTTAGTTCTGATTGGTTCTTTGGTGACACAGTTGGCATTCTTCGAGGAGGGGCCTACCTCCTGGCATCAGACTGCCAGCAAGTGGGGCCAGAGGGCTGTGACAGTCACTATGTGGTTCAAGCCATCTCTGCATCTAAAAGTGCCTTAGTCCACAATGGTGTCTCTTCTAGAAGTAAACACTGTGAGGTGAGGTCCCCAGGGCTGGTTGGTGGCAGCCCTTCAGGTAGTTTGGAGACCTCTGCCCAGCACCCTGGCTGAGAGGTGCATACTCGCCACAGGTTGGCTTCTGAACCCCAAGACTCAGTGTGCAGCGATATGCAGGATGTGACACTTGGTGTGTCATGGGCTCTGTGTAGGATGGCCCATGGCCCTTGCAGTCTGTGTCCTCTCCCTTGCCCAGACTTCCCTGAGCTGTGGTTATCAGGCGAAGAGCCCCATCCAGACACAGAGGAGTGAGCTCGACTTTCCAGAGCCCAGTGCAGTCCCAGGGGCTCTGGGCCACCCTAGACTCCCCCACTTTCCTGCACCCCAGGTGCTGGCACAGCTGCTGGCTCAGCCAGGCTCCACTTCTAGGGGCTGCCAGCCAGTGAGGGCACTGGATCCCGTGAGTCTGCATCCCTTTCACAAATGAGAAACTGAGGCTTGGGGGAGTCACTGTGTATCCTTCTGTGAGCCAGCAAAGTGTCCTGGGCATCCAAGTGCTTCCTTTAGCTCTGGACATGCCTTTCATCAGACCACTGAATCAGTGGCCTTCTGAGCGAGCACTTGAGTGACATCTACCCTGTTTATCCCCAGCCAGTGAGGACAGCTCTGAGTCTTCTAGGGGTCACCAGAGAACAAGGGCAATGTGACTGGAGCCCCCTTCCACCCAGACACCCTGACCCTCCTCTCAGCCTGGTCGGGCAGCAGCTGGCAATGCCCCAGAAGCAAAGCACTCACTCATGCTGGCTCCCAGACTGAGCCAGGCCCTTATCCTTGTCCAGGCCAGTGGCCCTGCTGGGATCCCAGGCAAGTGTCGTAGGAGGGCCACTGAGTCTGGCCCAACCCAACACCACCCACTGCTGCTCCTAGGGGCTGAGGTTCTGAGTCAGCCACATAGTCCTGGCCAGAGTGGGGCCCAGCACAGGGCTCCCAACTCCCCAGTACGTGCCCTGTCCTCCTAGTGAGCACATGGAGCACACCAAAGAGTAGCCCAGGGCTGACTGCCCGAGGGCATCCCATTCAGCGGCAGACCCAGGCCTAGAGGAGGAAGACTGGGGTCCTGGACTTGGGCTCTGGCATTGTTGTGAGGGATGTGGAGTCTTTGTCCTGCACATGCTGAGTCCTGGAGTGTCTGTAAGGTAGTCTGGGGCCTTGGGAGTTTGCCAAGTTCTTTGGCTCTGGAAGTGTTTGAAAAGTGAGCGTGCTTTAGTGTGTGTGTAGAATTTTTCCAGGACGTCTGCAGATCCCCAAATCTGCAGCGGCTCAAGTCCTTTAGGTGAAATGCGGCATTTGCATGAACTCTATGCCACCCTCTCAGGGCCTCTAATCAGCCCTAGATGACTTAGAACACTTGGTACTGTGTCAGTGTGACATACATAGATGCTGTAATGTGTCACTAGGGAACAGTGACAGGAAAACGGTGCGTGTCCAGAGGAAATCCAATCTTTCCTTGAAGTTTTCCATTTGTGGGTGGTTGCACCCATGAACCTGGACCCATGGCCACCAAGAGCCAGCAGCACCAGCGGTCAGGGTGCTGAGTGAGTGGCACCACAGGGAGGAAAGGGGCACCGGGGGTAGTTGGTCACTGGATTCAGAGGGGTGAGCTCTGGGGCCCCAAACAGTGGACAGGCAGGTGAGGGCCAAGCCCAGGCTCAGCGTGAGTGAGGTGGACAAGCTGGGCCTGGGCGCTCCATGTCCTGTGAGTTGCTTCTCCCATCCAAGGTGAATATCAGCGAAACACACCATGGAGTGTTCACACCTCATGTTTTAGGTCTCGATTACCTCAGGCAGACTGGCCCAGCACACATGAGAAGGCAGAACCCTACGGACGGTGACTTTCTTAGGCAACTAGAGAGACTGATTTCCATTCTTTAGCAACACCTGCCAAGGACAGGGCCTGGGTTCATG